TCCAGGAAAAATTCTACGGTCGACCCGTGATCGTGGCAGATCGTGAGTTAGTGGAAACAGGAGCTGACGAGATCCTGAGAGATGCAGAAACATCAGACATCGGTTTCCTGGTGATTGGAGATCCTTTCGGTGCAACAACGCATACAGATCTGGTCCTGAGAGCGAGAGAAAAAAATATTCCAGTCCAAATAGTTCACAATGCCTCGATAATTAATGCCATTGGCTGCTGTGGACTCCAGCTCTATTCATTCGGTGAGACAATATCAATTCCTTACTGGACCAATACTTGGCAGCCAGATAGCTTTTACGAGAGAATAGCCGGAAACAGAAGTCGTGATCTTCACACATTGTGTTTGCTGGACATCAAGGTCAAGGAACCAACACCCGAGAGCTTGATGAAGAGGAAAAAGGAGTACATGGATCCCAAATTCATGAGCGTCAGGGAGGCATCTGATCAGCTGATTCAAGTCTTGGATAAAAGAAAACAAGAGGGAAAAGAATTAGGTGCATTATTTCACGATGTTTCACCATTTTTTCCAATAATTGTTAGCTCGTCAAGATCTTGAATTCCTGGGAATTATTGGTCAACCACATTTAATAAAAAAATAATTCTTGCTAATTATTAAATTTGTCTTCAGCATTCACTGAGGATTCCCTGGTGGTTGGTCTCTCCAGGGTGGGCTCTCCAGACCAACGAATAATCGTCTGTCCCCTCTCGGAGATGCGTTCAACGGACCTGGGGGCACCTCTCCACTGTCTGGTGATCCCTGGGGTTCACCTGCATCCCCTGGAGGCTGAATACCTGGTGCAATTTTCCTCCAACCCCGAGGAGTTCTCCAAATCACTGAATCTTTGATGATGTTTCAGAAAATAAAAAGAAAAGGCGGAAATTTATTGTTGGGAGTTATTGTCCTTCCAGTTCCTGTTTGTCCTATGTAAATTCAGGTGAATGAAGTCGAGGGGTGGGGAGCTGGGCATGTGGGCTGGTTGTTGTACTGCCAGGTGGCCATGGAGAATTTTCAATCGATCGACGAGGAATCGAGCGCCTTGGTGGCATCGAAGGTGAAATTCAACGTTGGCCTCTGGAGACAGACCAGTTGTGCTTGGGAATGCTACACCTACGTAACTCTCGTGCCTGTCACCGACCATCACCGGTTTTTATTCCTCTTCAGGGTATCCAAGTACTTTATTTTTCTCTTATACATTTGGAATTCTTCTTTTTATTTGTCGTTCCTCCCCAAAAATTCGTGTCCGCGGACTTTATCTTTTTTCCGGTGACATTTCCCCCCATATTTTGCGTAATGTTATGTTATATATTGTTAATTAATTTTGCGTAATTAATGCGGCTTTTTTTAACTGTTATAAAATATTATTTTATCTTTAAGGTTGTTATTCTGACAATTAAAAAGTGCATGAGGAATTCAGAGAATTATCTTTGAGAATGGTATATTTTTTTTATGATAATCCCTTTCTCTGTAATTTGTAATTACGTTAATATTGAATTATAAATTTGCAGAATTGATTTGGCTTTCTGAATTTCAGGTAAATGTGAATTGATTTTTGAAAAAAAAAATTAGTTGAGTTTGTGAGAGAATTCTCTTGTGAAATTTCAGTATTTTTTTATATAATAATTCCGTTTCTCGTATTTCGTAATTGATGAATAATAAAAAGATCACTGACTCTAACAAGATCAATTCCACCCCCAGATCGATCCACTCCTCCTCCCCCGGATGATAAAAAATTCATCTCGACAGCACTAACAACCCCGTGAACTATTATCGGAACTGGATGGATTAAAAAAATATATTATAAGTTTCGACGGAAAATTTCCATTTTTAGTCTCGTACTTCCCTGAAACCGGCGAAACTTCCTGAGCTTCCAGAGTAAGATGTCGGCATTCTCAACGGAAAAACCGCTCTCGGGCTTCCTGGTGGCACCGCGAGTTCCACAAGGTCTGGCTGCAGCAGTGGAGGGTCTGACCCGGGAGGTGATCCGAAACAAGCCCTCCGACATCTACGTCTTCGCAGCTCGTCACTTCGAGAATCTCCTGCAGCTTCGAGAGCAGTACGAGGCCTCGACCCCGCTCACCCGAGACCCCCAAATCCTCCAGGAGATGGGCCTAACACACCTGGTGTCCCCAGACCGTAGAAAAACCACGAGCAGATCTCGCTTGGACTCAGACCGCAGCGGTTGGTCCCTCAATCAAACCGCCAAAGTCCTCAAACGCCACAGGAGCATCACCACAGACACCAACACCTGCAGAAAACCCCTGGAGTCGTCTCCCTCGTCCTCCGGGGACTCTGAAACCCGCACCCCCAAAATCTTATCCAGGATATCCACGGGGATGACCTC